ATTTTATTTTTAACCTCATCTGCTAATGACCCCAAGGCATGCATTACTCTTTGTAATCCGTAACTCTTAATGGTTTCAGTATATCATGTTGTCACATAGACAACTTTTTAAAAATCAAAAAATTAATATTTTATTTCATCCACATTTTACATAATTTTAATATATATATATATATATATTAAATGCAAGCTGTTGGATTCAAAATCCAACAGCTTGGTGAGACACTACAATGCGCTGACGCACATATCAGACCAGTTAATAATTTTAGCTTTGAATGGGCTCAAACAACGTTGTTTAGGCCCCTTTTTAAAGGCCAAAAAATTCTGACCGAGTTGTCTCTATTAAAAGAACAAAACTTGATTTTTGAAAATGTTCCAACGAGGAAAACATGATAAGGCTTTGTTGTATTTTCTGACATGAACACCGTAGTGAGCATGCGTTGGAGATGCTGTTATAGTCCAGTGCCAGTTTCAGTTAAGTTCTTGATCTGATTGTACATTGAATTTCTAAATTAGTATGGAATTATCAGTCTCAAATTTCCCCTAAAGTTTCATTCACAAAGACATTATTCTGGATCGCCAAATTCCTTTTCAAGTTGTTCAGCTTGGTTTACCCCAAATTCAATTTCCTTTTCAAAGGTTTCCCTTGAAATTTGATTTTATTGTGGGGTTGTTGATCCAGAACTGTTAACATGCTTGGTGTTGAGAAAGCTTATCTTTTGGCTGATGATGCAGGCAAAGGCTGCAATGCAAGCAGGATTGAGAAAAGGAAATGCGAGCGAAAGGTCTGCATTGGGCATGATAGGTATTTCTGCTCAGGAAAGTCAAAGAGGAGACGAAATGGCTAACAGCTCTGATTCTTCTAGGTAAGTACAATTACAGATTTGTTCATTTATTTCTATAATGCAGAATTTTATTTATTATCAGAAAATAAAGTGGATAAAGTTTTTGGTTGTTAGTCTCTCAAGCAAAACAATTCGATCCCAGAGATTCACTTGAATATTTTGATGCTCAAAGAGCATTTCCAAGATCACGTCAAGCAAGCCACAATGATGAAAGGGCAAAGATAGCATCATCATCTGCCCCACTGTCAATGTTGCTTATTCCTTCCTTAAAAGACGTCTGCACAAAACGGTGTTATATTTTTTAGCTTCACTTTCACCATGCTATTTAGTATAGAGATGATTTTGACATTTTTTTGCACTAAAAGCATCATTTGTTTCCAGACATTGTAGGAATCTGCTTCTATCCATGATATCGAAATCTATGGTATTCAATGCATAGAACTTAACATTGGTCTATATTCTTATCCATCCAGATTAGTATATTTTTATAGTACGAGAAAGACTGCTCAATGTAATGATGGCAGTACATAGTAGCCAAGAACATTATCTGAAAGGGTTTCAACATCTCCAGTGTGGATCTAGCCTTGTACTGAGAGAAGAGTGACATGTTAAAGTAGCACAAAATGAGGGGAAGTCCGAAATAAGAATTGCAAAAATTATTGTAATTGAAGTTATTGCCTGCGCTCAACATGAAGTGGAACTATGTAAGTGTTCATGTTGTCATTTAGTTCAGATTAAGACTCAGTTTAGATGAACACTGCTTGCGTCCATTTTATTTTTAACCTCATCTGCTAATGACCCCAAGGCATGCATTACTCTTTGTAACCCGTAACTCTTAATGGTTTCAGTATATCATGTTGTCACTGTAGGCCCTTGCTGATGAATCGAAAGGGTTAGTTGTGCGTGCAGTTACAAATTCTCTTGTGAATATGGAGCATAAAAACCCTGGATCTTGTGAAGCTCTTGTTTGCAAGTTGCTTGAGAGATTGGCAAGGTTAGAAACTTTTCAGTAGCCCAAAAAAGAAAGAATTCATTCACTTTCTTTTTTCATCTCAAGTCAACGAAACTCAAGCTGGATAAGTTTGTGCAGTTCAAAAGGATCTTCGTTGGAAGAAATGCAAGAGATGGCGACTTGCATGTTCATTAAGGGCAAGACAACATCCAAAGAGACACAAAACATGACTGCAGAAGCTGAAAATAGGAGAAGGCAACAACAGAAGCAACTTCATACAAACTCCAACATTAGCTCGCTTGCAAGATTTCTACTTTCGAGGTAGGTTGAATGATTGTTCCCTTCCAGCAACGGATTCTCTTATTTTTACAATCGTTGGAGTCCTCACGTCCTTTGAAATGTCCTCGTATTGAAACTGGCTGCTGTTGCTGTTTCAGATGGCAAAGCCAAGTTTCAAATAATATCAATCCAGCATAAGGAGGAAGAAGGGGTGGAAATGATTACATTACATCCTTATTTTGTAGTGTGCTTTCTAGTTTTTTGCATCTATTCCGCTTCAATGTACATAGCATTGTAAGAAAATGGTGTATTTATCATCCATTATTCATTCTTTTTCTGTTTTAAAGTTTTGTTTTGCAATTTAATGTATAATTAGGTTTTTGGTAATATACATTACAGATGTAATCTTTATAAGAACAATAATAATGAAGAATAATAGTTGGTGATGTAGGCAGAATCTGATAATTAATTTTGATATTAGGGTTCATACAAGAATTGAGAGAGGACAACAGATAGACAGGAAGGCTAAACTAGTCATACCATTGAGTCCCTGAGATAAGAGACGCAAGTTGTTTGATTTTGCTCCACTACTTTTGTCATTTTTCAGAGGAGTATGTGAAGGATGAACCAAAAAAAATAGAGAGAAATCCACTTGCTTTGAACTACCACTATTCATATAGAAAAGCAAAACTCTAATGCATAAGTAACTGAAAAATATATGATACAATGAACTGCCAAATTAAAGATGTAAACGTATATACACGAGGCAAGGTTCTAGATTTACTAATCTTGGAGAACAGTTGGAAGTGAGAAAAGTTATAGATTGGGGGGAGGATATGGTTAACATGGATTTCCTTTTGGAATCAAATTGTCTTTAAGTTGTACAAAAATGACTTTTTTTTTTTTTTTTTTATAAGGGCAATGGTTAGTATGTTGGTATTGTCAGATGTTAACAACTGAAGATTCGATCCCTAAATTTGGTGAACAGCCCACCGACTTCAATGAGGCGCGCGGTCGTCAGGCTGCTAGGTGGAGTTCCAGTTGTACAAAAATGACTGTCTCAACAAAAGGAGAGAAATTTCCCGCAAAGGAGAAAGAAACCTCAAAGAGGGAGAAATTTGCATTTTTATTCATTCTCCCTAGCCACCAAAGGGAAGAGGGGCGATGGCTAGGGAAAAAGGCAAAAGAAAAGAAGGTAGTAGTTATGGGAAAAGAAAGAAAGAGGCATTAGGGTTTTGTTTAGGGTTTTAATTATCTTTTTAAAATAATGATAAAATAAAAATAAATACATTAAATATCATCCAAAAATAAATATCCAAATTAAAAATTAAATTTATTAAAGTTGAACAAAAAAAAGTATAATACACAGAATCACCACATTAAAAGAAATTAATGCACACATGTTTTTAAAACATATATAAGAAGCTCAAGTCCTGATTTAAGAAAGGATAACAAAGAAGACACATACAAATTTACACACGGGAATCAAACTTTCCGATCCAATTGAGAATCACCACTTGTCTCTTTCATCATCATCAACAGCACAATGAATCACAACATTTGTCTCTTCATCATC